TGTCTTTTGCTGATTTCATTTACTTTTTGCCTTGCTTTGCATGCCAAATTGTTTGATATCTACATCTGATATGCAAGTTATTAATCACATGATGTATGCATTTTGCAGCTTCAGCAGTAGGACCTTTCTACAAGGAGATCCGTTTCTTGGAATTTTCAGGACTCTTGATCTTTTATCCCCTCTGTTGGTTACGTTCATGGTTCGTTTTCTCTATGCAAAGGAGAATTTGCAAGGCACACAAAAACACCACAGCACAATGATGTGCCATGCTTAGTTTTGTTTTGGCGAGGATGGTAGAGTGTCCATGTGAAAAGTTTGACACAACAGGTTCCTTATGCAACAACACATATAAAAGCGAAAAAGGTGCAGGTCAGCCAAAAGGTGGCAGGCCTATCATCTCTGTTTTACATTTGTGATGTTGCAACTACCGGAAGGTCATTCCAAAGGGAAAACCTCCTAGAGATAGTGTGACCAGTTGAAGAATACTTAGCTTGCAGAATTTTCAAAAAGAACCTTATCTTTCTTGAAATCAATTGTAAATATGCAGGATCTTTTTGAGCATTTGCAATGCAAGGCAAAGTAAAAATTGATACACAATTTGTATAGGTTAGTAACATATACTTGTGAAGGGGCGGTGACTACATCTTTGTATGAAAAAAAAAATTCATGGTGAATCATTGAGTGGCCTGATCCCTTTTTGGGTGCCTTTTGTTTTTAATCCCGATGTGAAGAATTAAAAAGCCAAATGGTTCCCCAAAGAGGCCTTGGTATGCCTTGACCTTGGGATGGGGTAGCCTCCCCTCCTCCTAAACACATGCTAGAGCTTTCACTTCATATACTGCAAGGTGAGTCTTGTTTATGGCAAGGAGATGCAGCTCATTCTGGTGAATTTGGATGTAAGTATCTGACAATGATCTCAACTCCTTCCCATCTGGAATCTGCAACAATTTGCTTCTCTGTTTTTCCCACACAAAAATCTGCAGGGCCAAAACGACGTCGTTAAATAACAGAAGTCACATTAGAGTAGAAGCCATGTCTGAAAGTAATATTGTAGTTTCCAATATGCATCAGCACCAGAAGAAACTAGTACATTCAGAGTGTTCGAGAAGGCAAGGCTAGTGACTCTTTTGGAGTGACCCTCAAGCTTCCTTGTAACCTGCAAAATATTTAAATCAAGGCAATGACAAACTTTTCGGGTTTGCTTCATCACAACATCGAGCATGATTTGTTTTATTACAAGAACAAACAAATTTCCTTGTCTGAGTGGAGATTGTATATTACAATGGTGGAATTGTCCATGCCAATAGCAACTATACCATCATCTCGGGAGTGAAAAGCAAGACATGTTGCTGCAGGTGGCGGTGGCCTGACTTTCTTCATCGTATGCGTTTTTACGCAACAGATTTTTATGAGTACAATGAGTTAGAGCATGAAAATTTGCAAACAGAACCTAAGCTATTGACAAACAAGATTTGGGAAGTTTTGGCTGGGAAAAGAAAATTTCAAGAATACTATGTGTTGGGTTTACCTTAAATGTTGTCATGTCAAAAATGGAGATCACCCCTCCTGTTGCTGATATAAGATATTTTTCATTCTTGGACAAATCAAAGCAGGACATAGAGTCTTCAGGGTTGGTGCTGGGAAGGTCATTGTTCATCAGCTCTAAGCCACTCCTTGGTTTCCATAAATTAGGGTGAACCTTGGGAGTTGCCTGCGTTCAATCAATATCATTAGAATCAAATGACCAACTGTCGCTTCGGTTTCAATTCGAAAGGAAAGAGAGGAGAAATCTAATAGGAAAGAATTATAAAGCATGTCATTCTTTACCACTCCACTAGAATTAAGGTCCTGTGGCCATTTCCAGAGAAAATGAATGCCATTTGATGCTAACACCAAATGGCATCACCTCCATTTGTGTAGAACAGCCTTGATATAATGAGAACCTACCAAAACATTTTAATGGCGAAATTTGAAACTTAAATATTAGATATTCTCATGTTGATATGCTCCCAATGCATAGGCAGAGAAAAACTATAAATCAGTCTCAGAATTGAGAGACCTCATATTGAATTATTTATTTTTCTTTTTCTGAAAGATAGAGTACCTTCAGACAGAATTGCAATTATGAAACTAGTATAGCCGATCGGCTATACTATTAATTTTTATTTATAAAAATAAATAAAATAATATATATTTATAAAAGAAACCGCCTAGCCCGCCTAGGCGCGATTTTTCGAAAACTTGAATTGCATTTTTTTTTAAAGATTTCTTTTTCCTGGCGGGTCTGCAATTATGAAACTTAAATATAGTATAGCCGCCGGCTATACTATTTATTTATATTTAAAAAGAACCGCCTAGCCCGCCTAGGCGGCCGATTTTTCAAAAACTTGAATGGAGTTTTTTTTTCAGATTTCTTTATTCCTGGAGGGTCTAGCATCTCTGCAAGTACATTTTGGCAATTCTCAGTACCATAAGATGGGCAAAAAGAGTAAATCAAAAACTCCCAGAGAGATGCAAGATAATATAGCTGTTGGTATCGGTGGCAGCTTCTCAGGTCCTCTTCAAACAGGTTTAGATGATTCTTTCCATGCATATATTTTGCAGTCTTGTTTACTATTTAGTGTGAGTTTCCTTGTGAAAATGATTAAGCTTTCTTTGGAACACTGGTTTGATTACATTTTGCAGATCCAGAGGCTATCGAAACAGCAAGGGGAAGGCAACTGCATTTGTAAGTACTTACGTATCAATTTTTAAGTGATTATTTTCCAGTTCTCTATATCAATGAATTAAGAGCCGGTAAGATGCTAATGGTATGAATCCATGTCTTGAGGCTTTTGAAGTGATTTCCCCACTACTGCTGTCAAACATTGCGGATTAGCTTTCTTTTAGCTCCTTCATTTGAGGACCTACCTGATTGGAACAATGAGATTGTCTGTTCATGAGTTTATTTCAGTGGCATAGTTCTTGAAGGAGGGATGCATTCATCTGTTAAAGACATGTACAGAAGCATTTTGTATTTGATACGGCACATAGGATTTTAGGACATGGCATGCTTTTGCTTATGCTTTCAAATTTTCTTTGTTTTTTTTATTTTTGAAAGCAATCTGTATTCTGTGTGTTTGGTTGTAGTTGTGGTGGTTGAAGAAACATAGCCCATATTCAGAGACTATGTTAGATGCATTCTCTGTGTAAATATTTGGTTGTAGTCTTGGAAGTTGGGTTAAGGGATCAGATGCATTCTGTAAAAATCCACTAACATGGCCCATAAGGAGTGGCAGTATTCCATTTCTGATATTTGCAGTTGTGGTAGTTTCAAAGACCTTTACAACGGCTGAAACTATGTTGAATGTTTGAACCCTTAGGGAATGGATTTCATCTTCTCTCGGGTTAGTGCACTGCAAGCACTTCTTCAAGTATATGAACACTTTGTTCAACGAGCATAAACATCAATTTTCTCCTATATGAGCAGTCGAGTCAGTCAATTTTCTCCTATACTCTTTAAATATATTGTTTAAGAAGTACTGCCGCTCGGCTATACCCTTTGAATAGATTCTTTAAACGTACAGCCGCGCGGCTATACTCTTTAAAAAGAACACGCTTAGCCCACCTAGGCGGCCGATTTTTCGAAAACTTGAATGTGTTTTTTTTTTTTTTTCTTTTTTCCTGGCGGGTTCAGGCATCTCTGCAAATACATTTTTGTCAATTCTGAGTAATGTAATCTGGGTGAAATGCACCTTTTGGATCCATAAGATGGGCAAAAAGAGTAAATCAAAAACTCCCCAGAGAGATGCAAGATAATACAGCTGCTGTAGAAGAGGAAAACCCCTCATTTTCGGCCAAGAAATTGCTGAATCATTGGTTGAGATTCAGTTCAGGTTTACCTGAAACAAACATAACACTTAATAGTGAGTTTGAGAGGATACTGTTGGACTACTCATGGCAACGTGCCACGCCTGAAACCTTGGAAATTGGCAGAGGTGGGGTTGGCCCATTCGTAACTAGTGTCTTTTTGTGTTGTGGGGTGGGGGGGAGAAGGATTGGGTGAATATAGTGTTTTCTAATTAATGTTGTCTATGCCACAATGCAGGCTGCATCCCTCAAAGAAAAGATTAACCGAATGTTTGGTGGAGAGCATGTACGTTTCAAGTTTATCTTCCTTCGGTCGAGTATTATGTGGATAATACATTTTTTTCAATTCTCAGTAATGTAATATGGGTGAAATGCAGCTTTTGGATCCATAAGATGAGCAAAAAGAGTAAATCAAAACTCCCAGAGAGATGCAAGATAATACAGCTGCTGTAGAAGAGGAAAAACCCTCATCTTCGGCCAAGAAATTGCTGAATCATTGGTTGAGATTCAGTTTAGTTTTACCATGCATATATTTTGGTTTTAATTTATGTTTCAATTACTAGGCATATATATGAAGCCTCATCTGATCCTACTTTCTGCAACAGGAACACTTGGAGAGCAATGAGGGTGATCCTGAAGGATGTCATTGCTGTTGGTATCGGTGGCAGCTTCTTAGGTCCTCTTCAAACAGGTTTAGATGATTCTTTCCATGCATATATTTTGCAGTCTTGTTTACTATTTAGTGTGAGTTTCCTTGTGAAAATGATTAAGATTTCTTTGGTATAAACTTTGGGTAGTGTTCACTGGTTTGATTACATTTTGTAGATCCAAAGTTATCGAAACAGCAAGGGGAAGGCAACTGCATTTGTAAGTACTTACGTATCGATTTTTAAGTGCTTATGGTTTCAAATTTTCTTTTTGTTTATATTTGAAAGCAATCTGTATTCTGTGTGTTGATTGGAGTTGTGGTGGTTGAAGAAACATAGCCCATATTCAGGATTCAGGGACTATGTTAGATGCATTCTGTGTAAATATTTGGTTCTAGTCTTGGTAGTTGGGTGCGCGTTAAAGGATTATATGTGTATTTTTATCAGAGGATGGATGATTCTGGTCGAAGGGTGTTCTAATAATTCGTTTTACCCTGTGTGCAGTCTTGCAAACGTTGATCCTATTGATGTTGCCAGAAATATTACAGGGTTAAATCCAGAAACTACCCTTGGTAAGCATTAAGTTTACTTACGTGTATAATACAAATATTAAACGGAAAAATACTAAATTCTTTATATGTGTATTATTATCTCTTTATTGACATCTTGTGTGGTTTCATTAAGCTTAACTTTTTGTTATTATATGTCCCTTGATGTTAACCCTTACGAAATTTGGTGTCAATGTTTGCACTTGACAGCTTTTCCAGAAGTTGTATCCAAATGAAGAATTCTTTCCTGAGACACCCTCTGCCTGAGAATTTGGAGGATGATATTCCGATTAATCTAGATGACTAATAGTATTAGGCCCATTACCCGAGTCTCTATCGTCCCCCTTTGATTTATCAATAATACATCCGCGCGGCTATACTTCGGTTTTTCCTTCATTTTTTTTACCTTATTACTCGTATCAAATCCTAATTAATAAATATTTTCTTGAGTTCAACCTAATCATGTGACATTTACTAAATGATGACAAAACTTCACAAACAAAAATCTATATACTCTGAACCATTTAAACCAAGATTCATGCAAACCTACCATCATTCAAAACTAAAACATAGTATGGAGCTCTAAGAAGTCGTGGGAGCCATGCTATATTGTGTAATCACCACCATCACAAAAGCGGCACCAAAACAAGACAATCATTCTTGTGCAGGAAAGCTTTACATTGCTCCTAATCAAACATACTACCCTCAAAGGAAATACTTGTGCAATCTTTGCTGAACAAGCATAAAACAGAAAACTATAGGCACCGCCAAACTTAAGCACATGAGTGTTCTGTAGAAGCTAAGTAACAATTTATAGCTTGTGCAAATATTTCCGAATAAAATAAGTACAGGCACCGCCCATTCTCTTTATAACTTTCTTTTGTGTGGTCTTGTATAATTTATTAATTTTCATTACAGAAGCCCATCATCAGAACTTACATTCAAAATCAATGTAAAGAGACATCGTTGCTACTTACTTTGGATGGTGGGCGATGGCAGCTGCTGGTAGTGTTGGCTCGTGGCAATGACGATGGCTGCTGCCCTAGGGCTAGGAACATAAAACGATGAAATAGAGAGGGGAAGCAAGAAGGAGCGGCTATGAGAGAGTTATTGACAAATTTTTTAAAGAGTTTGGAGCAGATTTCTAGTTTCCTGATGATACAGAGTCCCACATCGGTAAAACAAGTGACCACACAAAGGTTATAGGGACTTACATAACACTTCAAATTGCCAAGCCTAGTAGCATGGCCTTGTAACTAAGCAGGGCTTTAAAGTGATTGGTTGCTATGGAAACCTTCGTAGGTGTGAGACATAGTGGTCTTTGGCTGTTCACCTTGGCATTAGTGGTGAAGTTGGGGTAGCAACCAAACCAGAAATATATGAGAATTTGATTGGGGGGTTACTTCCCCACACAGACCAAGATTCCGCTTGCCTCAGTGTGCTATGAGTCAATTTATGAGTCAATGACCTCACAATATATATGGATCATATGTTTTACATATTATTAACACACTAATATATTTTTATTTTTAATAATTGAATGTTCAAAAGGTTTACGCCTCGTTTTGCAAGATATAAGATACTTTGTTTCAACGCCTTGCTTTTCAAAACATTGATACAAGTATTTCTTTATTTTCTTTTTTTCTTTTTTTTTTGGGTAAGGAATTTAGGAAGAAGATATGTGACTCAAAGGACATAACATATTTTTGTTGAATAATTAACGGCCACCATCCATTCGGGTTAACCCCAAAGCCTCTTGTTTTTTATTTTTTTTTATTTTACATTTATAAATACAACGGAAGTTTAAACTAAAACAATAGTATAGCTGAGCGGTAGTACTCTGTTTTAAATTTTTTTTTAAAGAAATAGTATAGCCGCGCGGCTATACTATGTTCTTTATATTAAAAGGTATAGCCGTTCGGCTAAAAAAAAAAAAAAAAAAACCCCTAGCCCGCCTAGGCGGCCCATTTTTCGAAAACTTGAATGGCGTGTGTTTTTTTTTAATTTCTTTTTTTCCTGCTTGATAACTCAGTCCTTGGTAAAGTTAAAAGTATCAGTCTATCTTCTTATCCTAAGGGTCCTCCTCCTACTCCTTCTCCCGCTCCATCTCCAGAGCCAACAATTTCTCCATATCCTGCTTCTCCAGTTCACTCTCCAGCACCATCACCTGACAGTAATCATCTCCCACCAGCACCATCCAAGGTACCTCCACATCCTCGTCCATGTCCATACCGCGGTTCTGGAATTCCTCCGAGCTCCTCACCAACTTCTCATCTTAACCCTACTGTTCCTCTTAGTTATGCACCTAATGGTTCCCCTTACTCGCCTTCTGCGAGTCCTTATACGAGTCCCTCATCTCAATTCCTCCAAGCTGAATCACTGGTTGAGATTCAGTTCAGGTTTACGTTTCAAGTTTATCTTCCTGTGGTCGAGTATTATGTGCATAAATATGGAATTAAAATGCTAATTTGAACACTTTTTTATCTGCAATTAGCGAGAAGTGTTTCCTATTTAAAAATAAAAAAAATATTTTCTGATATGGGGGAAGCGATTAAAATTTGGGACCTCTTCCAACAAAGTAGAGAGAAGTACCAGTAGAACAATAGCTAGTTGGTGTCTCCTAGATACCCAAATTTCTGACCTTTAACTGTCTGAAATCACAAAAACTTATATTTGATAGCTTTATAGGATTTATGGTAAAGATCATGAGACCAGCTTATTTCTGAAACCATTGTCATGTGATCCTTTTGCATTCTGTTTTTCTTTTTCTGGGTGGTGCCTTCTCATAAACAGCACAGAAAATAGATCAGTGCTTCATGTAGCTCTTCATGCTCCAAGGGATGCAGTCTTGTTTACTATTTAGTGTGAGTTTCCTTGTGAAAATGATTAAGCTTTCTTTGGAATAAACTTTGGGTAGTGTTCTCTTGTTTGATTACATTTTGCAGATCCAGAGGCTATCGAAACAGCAAGGGGAAGGCAACTGCATTTGTAAGTACTTACGTATCAATTTTTAAGTGATTATTTTCCAGTTGTCTATATCAATGAATTAAGAGCTGGTAAGATGCTAATGGTATGAAGTCTTGAGGCTTTTGAAGTGATTTCCCACTACTACTGTCAAACATTGCGGATTATCGTTCATTCATTGCTGAAACTATGTTGAATGTTCGAAGACTTAACTTTTTAAATATATTATTTGAGAAGTACAGCCGATCGGCTATACGTGTTAAATATATTATTTAAAGAGTTTAGCCGCCCGGCTATACTATTTATAAATAATAAAAAAGGAGCCGCCTAGCCCGCCTAGGCGGCCGATTTTTCGAAAACTTGAATGGCGTATTTTTTTTGGATTTCCGTATTCCTGGCGGGTCTGGTATCTTTGCAAATACATCAAGCTAGGGTTTTACCGACTCTATTGAAGACATCAAATCAGGTTGAGAGGAAAAATGTAAGGGAGTATAAATTTTTTCAGCGACTGCAAAATGGTTTTTTATTTTTCATTGCTCATAACTTGGACTCCAGTTCTTCAGTTAACTGCATCTAGAATATTGGTTTTGATCATTATTTCATACCTTTCAATCATATTTCAATGCATTCAGATGCTGAAGAACTGTTCAATTTTCTCTGGTATGAGCAGTCGAGTCAGTGCAAAACTATGAGGGATAGCTGTGTAAGTTCTGCATCTGCAGCAGCAAAGGTAGATGCTTGAAGATGTATTCTCCTTTGAGACATCCCGCAATTTAATTCTCGTCAAATTGACTGTAATGTTTAACTCAAGTAAATATGCATTTGATGAACCCTCATAGGGTTCCCCTGCTTGTCGATTGACATTAATACTGGATGCCCTCTGATTTCTTATTAGTTTGCAGATCCGATCATGTATTGGGTTGTCTTTAATTTCTCTTAGAGATTCAATCCCACTCGAGCCTAAACTTGTAACTAATGATCCCGATCAATCGTCTCCACTCTCTTTGTCTTCTATAATTTTTGGCATGGCCGGAATGAAGTTGCGAAAGAGAGATTGGTGAGCTTTGGCTCAAAAATTACTGTTGAAATGTGGTCAAGATCATGAGATGATGGTAGAGTGTCCATGTGAAAAGTTTTGACACAACAAGTTCCTTATGCAACAACACATATAAAAGCGATTCAGGAGATGATTGCAGGTCAAAGCCAAAAGGTGGCAGGCCTATCATCTCTGTTTTACATTTGTGATGTTGTAACTACCGGAAGGTCATTCCAAAGGGAAAACCTCCTAGAGATAGTGTGACCAGTTGAAGAATACTTAGCTTGCAGAATTTTCAAAAAGAACCTTATCTTTTTGAGCATTTGCAATGCAAGGCAAAGTAAAATTTGATACACAATTTGTATAGGTTAGTATCATATACTTGTGAAGGGGCGATGACTACATCTTTGTATGAAAAAAAAAAATTCATGGTGAACCATTGAGTGGCCTGATCCCTTTTTGGGTGCCTTTTGTTTTTAATCCTGAAGTGAAGAATTAAAAAGCCAAATGGTTCCTCAAAGAGGCCTTGGTATGCCCTGACCTTGGGATGGGGTAGCCTCCCCTCCTCCTAAACACATGCTAGAGCTTTCACTTCATATACTGCAAGGTGATTCTTGTTTATGGCAAGGAGGTGCAGCTCATTCTGGTGAATTTGGATGTAAGTATCTGACAATGATCTCAACTCCTTCCCATCTGGAATCTGCAACAATTTGCTTCTCTGTTTTTCCCACACAAAAATCTGCAGGGCCAAAACGACGTCGTTAAATAACAGAAGTCACATTAGAGTAGAAGCCATGTCTGAAAGTAATATTGTAGTTTCCAATATGCATCAGCACCAGAAGAAACTAGTACATTCAGAGTGTTCGAGAAGGCAAGGCTAGTGACTCTTTTGGAGTGACCCTCAAGCTTCCTTGTAACCTGCAAAATATTTAAATCAAGGCAATGACAAACTTTTCGGGTTTGCTTCATCACAACATCGAGCATGATTTGTTTTTTTACAAGAACAAACAAATTTCCTTGTCTGAGTGGAGATTGTATATTACAATGGTGGAATTGTCCATGCCAATAGCAACTATACCATCATCTCGGGAGTGAAAAGCAAGACATGTTGCCGCAGGTGGCGGTGGCCTGACTTTCTTCATCGTATGCGTTTTTACGCAACAGATTTTTATGAGTACAATGAGTTAGAGCATGAGAAATTTGCAAACAGAACCTAAGCATATTGACAAACAAGATTTGGGAAGTTTTTGGCTGGGAAAAGAAAATTTCAAGATTTAGAATCAAATGACTGTCGCTTCGGTTTCAATTCGAAAGGAAAGAGAGGAGAAATCTAATAGGAAAGAATTATAAAGCATGTCATTCTTTACCACTCCACTAGAATTAAGGTCCTGTGGCCATTTCCAGAGAAAATGAATGCCATTTGATGCTAACACCAAATGGCATCACCTCCTTTGATGCTAATGGTATGAAGTCTTGAGGCTTTTGAAGTGATTTTCCCACTACTACTGTCAAACATGCGGATTATCGTTCATTCATTGCTGAAACTATGTTGAATGTTCGAAGACCTATACTTTTAAATATATCATTTGAGAAGTACAGCCGATCGGCTATACGTTTAAATATATATTTAAAGAGTTTAGCCGCCCGGCTATACCATTTATAAATAATAATAAAAGGAGCCGCCTAGCCCGCCTAGGCGGCCGTTTTTTCGAAAACTTGAATGGCGTATTTTTTTTTGGATTTCCGTATTCCTGGCGGGTCTGGTATCTTTGCAAATACATCAAGCTAGGGTTTTAACCGACTCTATTGAAGACATCAAATCAGGTTGAGAGGAAAAATGTAAGGGAGAATAAATTTTTTCAGCGACTGCAAAATGGTTTTTTATTTTTCATTGCTCATAACTTGGACTCCAGTTCTTCAGTTAACTGCATCTAGAATATTGGTTTTTGATCATTATTTCATACCTTTCAATCATATTTCAATGCATTCAGATGCTGAAGAACTGTTCAATTTTCTCTGGTATGAGCAGTCGAGTCAGTGCAAACTATGAGGGATAGCTGTGTAAGTTCTGCATCTGCGGCAGCAAAGGTAGATGCTTGAAGATGTATTCTCCTTTGAGACATCCCGCAATTTAATTCTCGTCAAATTGACTGTAATGTTTAACTCAAGTAAATATGCATTTGATGAACCCTCATAGGGTTCCCTGCTTGTCGATTGACATTGATTTCTTATTAGTTGCAGATCAGATCATGTATTGGGTTGTCTTTAATTTCTCTTAGAGATTCAATCCCACTCGAGCCTAAACTTATAATTAATGATCCCGATCAATCGTGTCCACTCTCTTTGTCTTCTATAATTTTTGGCATGGCCAGAATGAAGTTGCGAAAGAGAGATTGGTGAGTTTTGGCTCAAAAATGACTGTTGAAATGTGGTCAAGATCATGAGAGAGAGAGAGAGAGAGAGAGGAGAGAGTGAGAGAGGGCGCAAGAAAGAATAGTTGAAATTTAAAAGAAATAATGGCTGCAAATTTTCCAAGAAACTTCTGAATTTATTTTGTTGAGGAAACATTAAATTCGCCGACACAAATCTATGTTAAGTCCGGTTACGTTGTACTAACTCAAGATTGAGAACGAAACATTAATCGTAAAGCCCTAGGTGAAAGTTATGTGATTATCGAAGCCTAATCGAGTCCTACGTACAGTGGGTTTACGATTAAGTTTTGAGGCTTGGATTAAGGGTTTGGAGGCTAAAATTCATTTTTAGAATACTAAAATAATTTTCTAGGATTTTTAAATAATTGAAATAATTTTTAAAATAAAGAAGGAAATTAAAAATAATTTTTAAGTTCACAAAATTATTTAACATAAGTAAATATAACAGCAAATGTTACAAAAGTCAAGTGGCCACACCCAAAAAGTTTTCGTTTGCAGCAGGATATTGTGTGACTTAGAACGTGGATGCTCTGCCTAATTTGAGGTGAACTTTTAAATTTGCAACACCTTAACTTAAAAAAAGAGGTCAAAGTAATTTAAATCTTCTTTATAGTGAGAAACAACATTACACTTGGATGATACAGCCTACCAAAGTAAATTAGGGCTAAGGGCTCTGCTTCCCTACAAAGTCTGCTGATCACAAAAAGTTTAGGGAAGGCAATATGCTTCCATAGGAATAAAAAGTCTAGGATCTCTTCTTTGCGTTGATGAGGTAGAAAATAGGAGCCTTGTCAGAAAAGATTCTTCGACCATCACTGGAGGGAGATTCGTACTTCCATGCAGGACCTAGAAGCCATGATGTGGCAACTCCACCGAGCAAGCCTCCAAACTGAGATTCAAATGTCACGCTCAAAACAAAGATGAGGATAACACAAACAAGAAGGAATTTTAGTGCAGACATGGAAGGAACCATATGCAAGCTCGTGTGTTTCAATTCGTCTCACAGATCCAGATAGGTTGCCTCAAATGATTATTTCACCAATACAACGCTATCCATAGAGACTCTTCACATTTGTTACAGTTTTATGGCTAATCTAAAAAAGGCAGAAAAGAAGTAATCAAGAAACTCAATCATTGGCACGAAAATTAATGATTGTGCTTTACCATGGGACTCAGAATTCAAATCCAACTGAAAGTTGAAAGAGAGAAAAATGAGGTCCAAATGTTCCACAACCCTAATTAGCCACATGTGCATGTATGTGCGTGCACATGCACAAGTGTGCGCATGTGACAGTGTGGGGAGGGAGTGGAGATAGGGAAGAGAGAGATCCACACGCACATTCACACACTAATTAGCCACTTTTCTTTGTCTATTGTCAAAAATTAATCAAGGGATACAAAGTGAAGGAGGTTCATTGAAATTCAACGCTCCTAATTTCTAAACAAAGCATTAATTAGGAGTGAAAAAGAGAGCAAGCATTCTTGTTCTACTTACATGTCCCCAGTTATCAATGCCTTTGAAGAAAAACCCCATAGCCTGCAAAAACAAAAACAAAAACAAAAAGTTACGTTTATTTATCCATTTATCCAGCCAACATAAATTGGAAGGGGAGCTGATTAAGTTATTAAGATAGATAAAGGACTGAGTTGGGCAAAACTTAAAGACATAGTAACCAGAAGGAACATACCATATTTACGGTAATTACATGTGCTATGTGCTGTAGATCTTCTTTTCCACGTCCAACCAGACCTCTATGCCTCATGACGAAGACAGCAAGAGATCCAACCTAAATCAAAGATCAGAGCCAGCGGTTTGATTAATTATAGGAGATGAGAAAGAGCAATACCATGCCAGAATAGCTTGAAAGAAGATTCACTTGGCATTCCATAACACTGAGTAGGTACATAGGCAGATTTTTAAATTTCAATATATAAAGATATGAACTAATCTTCCTTTTGTCAAAGCAGCGTGACACTCACAGAAATGTTTCTTTTTCATTTATACTTATTGTTTCTCTTTTGGCGGAGGAAATCCTGTAAAATGATATTCAGAAGTTGCAGAGGTTTATTTTGAAACAAATTTAATAAGTTAGCAGCTGAAAATTTTCATGAAAACTGTAAAAGAGGAAGCTATATATTAAATGGTGAAATACAGGAAAAGGAAAACAATAAATCTTCTGAAGACAGATGAATAAGAAATGGGGAAAAAATAAACAAGAAGGAAATAATTGCAAGAACATCAACTTTGCTTGTGTGACTGCATGACAATGAACCTGATTTTACTGGATTCCTCTACTCTATTGCCATAAATGAATTAAACCAAGATTATCTGGCAGGTTATATGGTGCATCTAGGAAATCCAGAAAAAGAGTCCGGCTAAGGAAAAACAATAAAATGTCTTACTAATCCAAAGACTGCCCCTGATGCACCAACTGCAGGTGCCTCACTGAACCAATAACTCATCGCTGAACCTGATTTTCTCGAAACCACTGAATCAGAATACTAGTCGCTAAGCAATTTTTATTGGCTATTGTAGATAGATCATAAAGCTGTTACTTGCAATTGCAGAGGCGAAGTAGAGTGCAAGATATCTATTAGGACCACTGATGTTCTCCATGGTAGGACCAACTGAATTTAAAGAATAACAATTAACCTGAAAACATACGCAGAAACAGAAAAATCAGATTGAAATGCAGACATTAGAATGCCAAGCCGTAAGATTCAAAGCATACCATTAGGTGCCCAACATTTGCATGTAAAAGGAAGATGTGACCAGCCTCCACAATTGCCCTTTGTCGATGAGCCTATTTATCCATGGACATTGTCTTTTGCTGATTTCATTTACTTTTTGCCTTACTTTGCATGCCAAATTATTTGATATTTACATCTGATATGCAAGTTAAGCACTTGATGTATGCATTTTGCAGCTTCAGCAGTAGGACCTTTCTACAAGGAGATCCGTTTCTTGGAATTTTCAGGATTCTTGATCTTTTATCTCCTCTGTTGGTTACGTTCATGGTTCGTTTTCTCTATGCAAAGGAAAATTTGCAAGGCACACAAAAACACCACAGCACAATGATGTGCCATCCTTAGTTTTGTTTTGGCGAGGATGGTAGAGTGTCCATGTGAAAAGTTTGACACAACAGGTTCCTTATGCAACAACACATATAAAAGCGATTCAGGAGATGATTGCAGGTCAAAGCCAAAAAGGTGGCAGGCCTATCATCTCTGTTTTACATTTGTGATGTTGTAACTACCGGAAGGTCATTCCAAAGGGAAAACCTCCTAGAGATAGTGTGACCAGTTGAAGAATACTTAGCTTGCAGAATTTTCAAAAAGAACCTTATCTTTTTGAGCATTTGCAATGCAAGGCAAAGTAAAAATTGATACACAATTTGTATAGGTTAGTATCATATACTTGTGAAGGGGCGATGACTACATCTTTGTATTTTTTTTTTTTTTTTTTTTTTTTTTTTTTTTTTTTTTTTTTTTTTTTTTTTTTTTTTTTTTTTTTTTTTTTTTTTTTTTTTTTTTTTTTTTTTTTTTTTTTTTTTTTTTTTTTTTTTTTTTTTTTTTTTTTTTTTTTTTTTTTTTTTTTTTTTTTTTTTTTTTTTTTTTTTTTTTTTTTTTTTTTTTTTTTTTTTTTTTTTTTTTTTTTTTTTTTTTTTTTTTTTTTTTTTTTTTTTTTTTTTTTTTTTTTTTTTTTTTTTTTTTTTTTTTTTTTTTTTTTTTTTTTTTTTTTTTTTTTTTTTTTTTTTTTTTTTTTTTTTTTTTTTTTTTTTTTTTTTTTTTTTTTTTTTTTTTTTTTTTTTTTTTTTTTTTTTTTTTTTTTTTTTTTAACACACAAAGCTCGCATGTTGCAAGGCATTGTGGCTGAGCATGAAGGTGCCGAAGGCAACACAAAGCTTGCATGTCGCAAGGCAATGTGGCCGAGCACGATGGTGCCGGAGGCAACACAAAGCTCGCATGTTGCAAGGCATTGTGGCTAGGCACAGGGGTGCCGAAGGCAACACAAAGCTTGCGTGTCGCAAGGCAATGTGGCTGAGCATGAAGGTGCCGCAGGCAACACAAAGCTTGCATGTCGCAAGGCAATGTGGCCGAGCACGATGGTGCCGGAGGCAACACAAAGCTCGCATGTTGCAAGGCATTGTGGCTAGGCACAGGGGTGCCGAAGGCAACACAAAGCTTGCGTGTCGCAAGGCAATGTGGCTGAGCATGAAGGTGCCGCAGGCAACACAAAGCTTGCATGTCGCAAGGCAATGTGGCCGGGCACGATAGTGCCGGAGACAACACAAAGCTCGCATGTTGCAAGGCATTGTGGCTAGGCAGATGGGTGCTGAAGGCATCTTTCATGCCGATTGATAGTTGGGTGCCGAAGGCATCGCTTAAACTATATGATGAAGATTGTATGGGTGCCGAAGGGCACTGAGGAAGGAGAGAACGACATAAGCCTTTTGTATCGGTTCCCACAGACGGCGCCAAACTGTTGATGCTCAAATTGGTTAGGCCAAGATTGAGTCCAACTTAGTGATGAGGTGTGATGGATGATGAATGAAGGTGAGGACCTTAAGCATGTGTGTAAAGACTTGGGCAAGCAATAAATGTAAAGAAGACAAGATATACGTGGTTCACCCTTAATGAATGGGTTACGTCCACGGAGAAGTATGTTTTCATTATAATAGTGTATGATTACATTTGTACATGGGGTTGGACCCGAATATAAAGATGACAAGTGAAATGCCCAGGCTAGGAATCTAGAAGAGAGTCCCCAGCCCTAGGGTCTAGCTCTGAGACCCGGATCCTCTTCTAAGTGGAGAAAGGAAGTCCCCTTTTCACATGGATACTATTCCTTATTTATAGGGAGGTGAAAGTGGGAGGTTTGTGTAGATTTCCGATGTGGGACTTTGCGTAAGTCGCTGTGGTGGTGACATGTGTCATGGTGTTGATGCTCTTGGTGCTGGGTATGCTCGGTTGATTATGGTGTAAACAAGAACTATAGCTAGTTGGTGTCTCCTATTTAAAATTAGGATGCCCAAATTTCTGACCTTTAACTGTCTGAAATCACAAAAACTTATATTTGATATCTTTATAGGATTTATGGTAAAGACGAGACCAGCTTATTTCTGAAACCATGGTAAAGATAAGACCAACTTAACTGCTCATGAGTTTATTTCAGGACCTACCTGATTGAAACAATGAGATTGTCTGTGTTCATGAGTTATTTCAGTGGCATGGTTCTTGAAGAAGGTATGCATTCATCTGTTAAAGACAGGTAGAGAAGCATTTTGTATTTGATACAGCACATAGGATTTTAGGACATGGCATGCTTTTGCTTATGCTTTCAAATTTTCTTTGTGTTTATTTTTTAAAGCAATCTGTATTCTGTGTGTTGGTTGGAGTTATGGTGGTTGAAGAAACATAGCCCATATTCAGGGACTATGTTAGATGCATTCTCTGTGCAAATATTTGGTTCTAGTCCTGGTAGTTGGGTTAAAGGATTATATGCATATTTTTATCAGAGGATGGATGATTCCGGTCTAAGGGTATTCTAATAATTTGTTTTCCCCTGTATGCAGTCTTGCAAACGTTGATCCTATTGATGTTGCCAGAAATATTGCAGGGTTAAACCTAGAAACTACTCTCGGTAAGCATTAAGTTTACTTACTTGTATAATACCAATATTAAATGGGAAAATGTTAAATTCTTTAGAATAATACTAGTCTTACCACATTTTTTATACCACAATTTTATACCACATGATGTGGCAGCTGATGTGTACATACCACATCATGTAAAATACTAGTTTCTGTTTTTCTAATTTTATTTATTAAAATACACTTCATTCATTTAATTGATGTGGCATATGATATGGATATGCCACATCATGTGGTACAGAAATGTGGGATAATAATGTGGTAAGTGCATTACTCAATTCTTTATATGTGTAATAAGCAAAAAATCAAAAGGGGATAATAGAGACTTGGGTAATGGCCTAATAATAGTAATGGATAATGCTCTAAACTACTCTTATTAACAAAGGAAAATCTGGGAAATTTTTTTTTAAACGTATAGCCGTGCGGCTATACTCTTTAAATATTGTATATTCAATGCCTATGGCCGCACGGCTATACCTTTAAATATTCTATTTACTATTCTATACCTTTAAATAGTATAGCCGCGCGGCGATACACCTTAAATATAATATTTTAACCGTACAGCCGAACGACAGTACCCCAAAAAAGAATATTTCAAAGTATAGTCGCCCGGCTATACCCTGTAAATAAAAAATTGAGAAAACACATCTCCCGACGAAATTTCGTTGGCATAGGTCAACACCGGCAAATATTTGTCAGATTAGACCTCTCCCGACTAAAGTTACCTCTGCTGACGACACTTCGTTAGGAGAGGTAATATGGTAAATTTCGCTGGGATAGATATTTGCCGACGACATTTCGTCGGGATGGGTGTTTTTGTTTTTGTTTAGTTTCTTTACTTTTGTTTGTTGGCCAACTTCTTTAATTTAATACATGTGGTTAAGTAATATCTTAGCCTTTTTTTAATTAGTAATTATGTATTAATTATTATTTCTTTAGTGAATATTTAAATATATTACTATAAAGGTCTTTGTAGTAATTCAATTTTTGGGAGATTCATATTATGCTACTTAAAGGGTATAGCCGCGCGGTTGGACTTTTAAAATATTCTATTTTGGGAGTATAGTCACGCGGCTAAACTGTGAAGCAACAGCTCAGGCCACTAAGCTTCCTCTATGCAAGAATAAATCGAATGGCTACCTTGCTAGCTTGAGACCACTGAAGGGAATGCAAAGCCTAAGTCAACACCCTTTAATTCCTCTCCCATTGAAATCACTGGAAAATAGACTACCACTAATTAAAATAATTTTTTAAAAAACTAAGATTTTACTTAATAACATAAACTAAATTAAAGAAGGTCGCCAAAAAACAAAAGTAAATAAACTAATTTTATACTTTTAAATAATTAATTACTATTTATTAACTAATTTATTAAATCAGTAAAATATTTAATATTCACTAAAGAAACAATAATTAAAATGTAATACCTAATTAAAGTAATTAAAAAAGACTAACATTTTATTTAAGAATAATGCTACTCTTACCACATTTGTATACCACATCTTTATACCATCTTATGTGGCGGCTGAGGTGGATAGCCACATCAATTAAAATTATTTAATATTTTCTTTTCTTTTATGATTTATTCAAGTATTTGTTTTTCTAATTGCCTTAATTAAAATACACTTCATTGATTTAATTGATGTGACATATAATATGGACGTGTCACATCATATGGTATAGAAATGTGGAATAAACAAGTGGTAGGTGTAGCATTTCTCTTGATTTAATTACATAAATTAAATTAAAGAAGGTTGCCATAAAACAAAAGTAAAGAAACTAATTTTATACTTTTGAAGTGTATAGCTGCACGGCTATAAGTTCAGAATATTCTTTTAAATACTATAGCCATGCGGCTAGACCTCTAAAATAGAATATTTATAATGTATAATTGTGTGGCTATACTCTTTTAATATATCACCAACAATAAAAATATGGATTTATAGTGTCATATTTCCTTAAATGTATTCGAATATTTGAGTAATTTATGAAATCATTAAAATATTTAAATATTAACTAAATAATAATAATTAAAATATAATTATAAATTAAAGTAATTAAAAAAGGCTAAGATCTTACTTAATTACATATATTAAACAAAAATAGTTGGCAAAAAAAGAGAGTAAAGAAACTAATTTCAAATAAAATAAAAAAATCTCTCCCGACGAATGATTTTGTCGGCAGAGACCTAAGCTGGCAAACATTTGCCGGATGAGACTTCTCCTGATGAATGTTGGCCGGCATCGGTCTATGATATTACTAATCAAAGTAATTAAAAAAGGGCTAAGATATTACTTAATAACATATTATTAAACTAAAGAAGTTGGCAAAAAAAGAAAAAAAACTAATCCGGCAATATCAACTAAAGAAAGTAATGCCATATATAAATTTTGATACAATCACAAAACCAACCAGGCTTTGAATCGAATGTCACGGGGATATCAACTCAGCAAGTCCAATTTGGGCTTGAATTCATGGGGATATAATAGGAATTCAATAAAAGGATTTCATTAATAAGGTTAAAATGAAATGTTTTCAAGTCACAAAACACACCGTTTCATTAAGAGGATTTCATTCCCCACATTCAAAACGGCGTCGTTTCATTTTGGTATTATCAGAAAGAAAACCAGGGCGCAGTGGTCATCTTCTTCACAAGAACTGCGCCTCAGGCAGCCTCAGTTGCAGCTGCAAGAGATTTTCCGGCGAGGGGAGGTGTAGCTTAATAGGTCCGCCAGTAACAGCTTTGGTTTGCAGCAATGGGAACCAAGGGCAGCTTGTGTTTTGCAAACAGCATGGCACCGTTGTAAAAGAGAGAAGCTTCAAAAGTCTCCTAGATTGGCTAAAGAGGGTAGTCTTTCTGCCACTGATCACCATTTTGTTTCAGAGTGCCTGCTCATTTAACCAGCCAGTGTTCGAAAAATCGGCCTAGGCGGCGCCTAGGCGCTAGGCAGCTACCCAGAGGGTTTTTATGATGGCTCTTTTATTTCTCTTGTTTTGATGATTTTAGATCCACATGTTAAGCTATGGCTTCAACATTGTTATCAAGGCATTTTGTTTCAGAGTGCCTGCTCATTTAACCAGCCAGTGTTTGAAAAATCGGCCTAGGCGGCTACTAGGCGCTAGGCGGCCGCCTAGGCGGCTACCCAGAGGGTTTTTATGATGGCTCTTTTATTTCTCCTGTTTTGATGATTTTAGATTCACATGTTAAGCTATGGCTTCAACATTGTTATCAAGGCATTTTGTTTCAGAGTGCCTGCTCATTTAACCAGCCAGTGTTTGAAAAATTGGCCTAGGCGGCGCTTAGGCGGCCGCCCAAAGGGTTTTCATGGTGGCTCTTTTATTTCTCTTATTTTGATGATTTTAGATTCACATGATAAGCTACGGCTTCAACATTGTTATCAAGGCATTTTGTTTCACACTGCCTGCTCATTTAACCAATTAGTGTTCCAAAAATCGGCCTAGACGGCACCTAGGCGCTGGGCGCCCACCTAGGCGACCTGGGCGTGTCTGAGTGTGTCTGGGCGAGTCTGACTCAGAAAAATGAGATGATGATGATGCTATGTGTGTGTGTGAGAGAGAGAGATGAGGATTGAAGAAGCAGATAGATCGCGGGTTATGTCTGAG